TGTCTGTTTGCCCTATCACTAACACTAGTAATGAGTGTGCACACCTTCACAAAAGAATAAAAATGAACAAAGAAAAGGAGGCATGATCCCACCGTCCCGCCGCGGATCAACACTCTCCTCCACCCACCACCATTGCCGCACAGGAGACCGCAGTCACATCGCAGAGTCAGCACCACAATGCGCACCACACCACCGTGCAGTGAACGATGGACGAGACGCAGCCATGCATCGCCCCGCTCCATTTTACCACCAAGCAAGTGTTGCGTGCCCGCACAAAGTAGCAAACACAATCAGAGTGCACACAAACCCAATCAACCCCTCACTCGCTGAAGCACATTATTCGCATGGAGTGACAACATCTAAGGACACACCAGCAGCAGCAGGCTGCATGGAATTTCCCTGCCAACACCGCAAAAAAAAAAAAAAAAACTCTGCGGGGCCAAAGTGGCAGCCCCTCGGTGTTGCCCGCAGTCCACATGGCAGGAAGAATTCCACGCACGCATAGTTTTGGACCCCATGCTGTTTGAGTGCCCAACAGAACATGTGGAAAAAATACCTGCACGCAAGATGGCATTTAAACACGTGAAAAGTCGGCCTGCTTTCTCCGATGACGTTGGCGAGCAGTCCCACACAATCCAATCAAGGTGACACGCCGGACAGAATAGCGTCCGTCAATCAATAAAAAAATGCGACACTGAAAGGGAGCAAGGAAGAGTTGGCGCATGCGATTCCCAGTGACAACTGTGAGCGAACCCGCCAGCACCGACTGAGGTGCCGAGGAACACTTCAGTGTAGAACTGGCCGTCAGGCAGAGAGGACAAATAAAACAGGAGGGCAGCAAACCCTCTCGTTCAATGTCTCCTGACCACAACACCAGAATCAAAATATCATGGACGATAAGAGCGGCAACGCCTTCTCCAAAACATCGTGTCAAGAAGCCGCAGGACCTCAGGAAGGGAAGAAGGCAGCGGCGGCAGCCACAGCGGGGAGGCAATAAAACGGCTGGCAGGCACCTTCACGTCGACGCGCACAACACATCCGAGTGGGTCGGGAGCACAGACCGAACCGCCCGGAAACACACGCATCAAATCCGCAAAACAAAGTCGCGGTGAATCGACAGGAACTCCCCGCCCAAAACAAATTTATAAAGTAGCGTTTCTCAAGGGAGGGAATCCGCCTTTCCGACGACGGCACGGACGCCTCGCAGGAATTCCTTGCAAATCTCCCTTCGCAGGTCCGCAGGAAAACGCAGCGGAATAAAAAGAGAGCGCAACGACGCAAAAAAAAGAAATAATCCTCCTAACCGACCAGGTGGCAGGCTGCCCTCGCGCAATTGGACAGAACACAACTTCACTCCGGTCTTGTGGTGGTGATCGTCTCGCAATATTTTTTTTCCTTCTCGTCGCAGTGCACATCCCCCTCCCACAAATCATTTGTTCGGGCCATGTTTCTGCGGCCAAGCATCGCACTGCTGGATCCCGCGGCACAGTCCTCGGCAAAGAAGTGAGGGGAGGAAGAGGGACCGCAGAAGGTGCGAGCAAATCCAAATTCGGTGGCGGTCGCTGCAGTGAAGATTGACGTCCCACGCGGTGTCCCTTTTCTAGGCCCGGCCCCCACCGTGCCATGCGCTCAGCGTACGGTGCGCCGGCCGCTCCAAGCATCCACACGTGCTTGTGTCTCACCGTCGCTCCCAGCCCCGTTCGTTGGCTGCATCAGGGATGCCGCCATCCGGAGACGGGCATAAGGACGTTGCATCCAACAAAACCTTCAGAGGCACCCGGAGGGCCAAAGACGACCGTCACTGCGGGATGTGTGGCCCTTCCGCCACTCACCTCAAATCGCACTTCTACGCCTCCTCGAGCAGCAGCAGCATAAATACACCGGTCCACTAGAGGCCCTCACCAGCCATTGCAGGAAGACCACTGTGCCCCAGTGCTATGAAACCCAAACTGCATTGACGGGCCACTTCGGAAAATCCTGTCGCATCCTCCCCCATTATGCGGAAACACATCCGTCGTGCATGTGTCCACCGCAGCCAAAATAATCCGGTCCAAATACCCTCCGAATCAAATTCCCCTTTCCTCAAGCCATTCCTTCATTCCATACGCCCTGACCCTCATCCGCACGTGCCCACTCACGCAAGCCGCCATAGACAGATGGCAGTCGCGAAAACGCTCCGGAAAAACATGCCTAGCACGCACGCGCATAACAAATGGCATGCGCCAACGCACGACACAACGGCGGAGAAGCGCACACCAAAAGGATGCGGCCCTCCACAGCAGTCGTAGCCCACCGCGCGCATAACACCCGCAGGAAGAGTGACTCGCGGAGCGCGCTCCCTCTCTCCTCCTTCCCTTCATGCCCACGGAGGAAGCAGCAGCCACACGCAACCGCCAGCACACGCTGCAAAAGAAGCATCCAAATCAAATGAAATCTGCATTTTGTGCGTGCATGTGGTTGTGTGTGCCTGCAGACGCACGAAGCAAAAAAGAAAAAACAGGAGCAGAGCATGTGAAGGGACGCACAAACAAAAATGTACGGCGGAGGTGCATGACAGAAATAAAGAGAAAAGGACTGCTCAGGCTCATGATATTGCACTGCAGAAAAAGCAGCGGCAATTCAATAAAAAATATAAAAATAAATAAAAAAAAATTCATCCTCACCCTTCCACTCCTCACAATTTAAAAAGAAAAAGAAAAAAAAAATGAAAAAAGTCGTCCTCTATTACGGCCACACCCAAATGATAAAAAAGGAAAAAAAAAAAAAACTCACAAAAAAGTACCTAACTACCATGCTGCTCCAGAAATTGTCTGCTTATTTTGTCCGAAAATAAAATTAAAAGATATTTAAATGTCTTTCAACCGTCCGACCCTCTGTGTGTCCGCACATCGTTTATATTTCATGGGGTCATCTGCGTGTTGCTGCTCCCCTCAGCCCTTTCATCGGCGCGTGAGTGCGGCCCGCAGAGCACAACCACTCGTGTGTGTGGGGACTGAGAGAAGCACGCAGACATGACGGCAGTCGCGTCACTCCATCGGGAGAGTAAGCGCAGCAAAAGAAAAGAAAAACACGGCGGCAGGGTGTGGCTGTGTGTGTGTGGCGCTGCGGGTGTCTGCCAGCCCTGGCCGCAAGAAAACACAACAAGAGGGAAAAAATGTGTGCTCCGCCCCACAGGCCCTCGTCGCACGCCCACACGTCACCGCCCCCTCAGCGCGCCGTTCGTCGCGGCCTCTCCTCATGCGTGCAGCAGGCGAGGCGCACAGGGCCGTCGTCATGAGCGTGTCGGTGGGTGTGCGAGTGGAGCAGTTGGGCGGGAAACACACGGCACCCCTCGCAGGAAGAGTGCAGCAACAAACAATTAAAAGAGGGAAGAGTAGAAAAGAAAACACGTCCATAGTGATTGCCCCAAAAGCAAAAAAGAAGAGATGTGGGGAGCAAAAGATTAAAAAACGAAAAAAATGAAAAAGGGAGAAAAAAATTTTGAAACAAGAAAGTAGAAAACATTTAAAAGTTTAAAAAAAATATAATGAAAAATCAATAAAAAAAACAAAACAAAAAGCCGAAGCGTGGGACGACCAGCGCACACACTCTCATTGCTCCCGTAAAGCAAAAAACACACACACAGAGAGAGAGAGAAGGACGCGTGTGTGCGGGCGGTGCACGGCTCTCTCTCCCTCACTCTCACGCGGCCACCACCGCAGCCGCAGCCGCACACGCAACAAGAAGAAGCAAAAGAGGGGAGGTGGTGTGGGAGACCGCGGTGCTGCCGTCGGTGTCGTCAGTCTCGTTTGTCTCACGTGTTCGGGTGGTGTTCGCCGGTGACTTCTCGGAATACCCCTGAGTGGCCGTCGGTGTGGAAGTGGCGTTACGAGCTGGGCGTGCTTCATGTGTTTTTGCGTCGTCGGTCGGTGTACGGCTGCTCCTGTCAGCCAACTCACCACCACCACCAGGACCACCGCCTGTGGAGGCCGGCGCTTCAGACAGCTGTTCATTATTGACCGGATCTGTCTGCGGGGGTTTCACAGTCTCTGGTGCAGCACCTGGTGATCCTTGCGCCTGCCCCTGCAAAGCGCTGGCAGCAGAACTTGACGACGGCAATGGCGAGGCAAAATTGGCGTCTGTGGTTGCGGCTGCAGGCCGGCCACGAGAGGTGACGCCGGAAATCTCAACCGCCGTTTTGTTTACGCATTTCTCAACTTCTGTATCGTTGTGCGCGGGTAACGTGGCATTTACACTCGTAATGAAAGACATTCGACAAGATAATCGAATCGACTCCAGCACTTCCTTTGTGAGCTTTTCGATAGCCACAGTCACCTCCTCTGGAGTCATCGTTTCCTTCGCATTTTCACGATGCGGAGCACTTGATGAAGTCTGCATCGCATCACACAACCAGGCACCGCACCACAGCACGCAGAGGGCACACACCAGCAGCACACGGCCAGTCATCATCATCGCCATCACTCCTGTCACTCGCGTGTAGCCTTCAGCACAAACTAACTCCCCGTCAACGCAGAGTGAAAGGGATAGAGAAAAGAGACAAGTCACGGGGCCACGCACAGTCACCGCAAAGTGTCAAATGGCAGCAGCGGCGCACACACCATGAGTCAATAGGAATCAGTGGGAGGACAAAAAAACACACACAGCCTCGCAATAGTTGATCAGCAAGAAAAGCACACAAGAAACAATTAAAAACGAAACAACACTTGACAAACGGCAATAAAGTAAAAACACACAAAAAAGCTGCACAGTATGGCTCCAGTGTGCATGCACTCACACGCAAACATGAGTCCACGCAAACAGTTGTATGCGTGGCGTGCATACAAGTTTGTCCGGGATGCGTTCAACGTGGTGGATGTGGAAAACAACGCGGGGCACACAGCAGAGCAGCTGAATCAAATGAAGCAAAAACAAAATCATTACTTATTTATTACGAAACAAAAAAAAGAAGCGCAAAAATACACGTGGTTGAGTGCTGGCACGCACAGCCCGCATACAATTCTTCAGCCCATAGTGGTGTACGCCAGCGCGGATAAGGCGAGCAGCAGCGGGGCACACACCCACGCAGAGCTGCTGAGGCTGCCGTCGATTTCGCGAAGACGTGACGGTGCGCGGGTGGTCGTCGTCGTTGGCGCCTCGGGCGCAGTGGCCGTTGTTGTGGTCGTCGTGGTCGTAGTTGGTGCATTTGATTCCTTATGTTGTTCATTTGACTTGTTAGTGTTCGTATTTTCAGTCCCTTCCTCAGTGGATTGACCATCTTCGTGTTCTTGATCCTGTGTATTATTGGAAGTATTTTGTGACTCTGCCGTTCCGTTTACTGTAGCCGTTACCTGTGACGTATGAGTCGGCGTATTTGGTTTCTGTTCCTCCTTCCCTTCCATCTCCTCTCTTGTCTGTGGCAAAGGAGAAGTTACACTCTGCGGATCCGTCTCCTGACCTGGTTCCCCTTTCTCGCCATCCTTTGAACCGGATTCACCAACTTCACCTTCCCTTGTTGGCACGCACACGTACGGGCAGCAGCACAGGGCAAGCACCAACAGGGCGCACAGCAGACGGCACGTCATCATCGTGAGGGTGGTCGTTCAGTGGCGTGGAGCTGATCTGCACAGTGAGGGACATGGAGAGCAACAGGGGAGACAAGAGGTGCGGTCACACACAGAGGGCACACCACATGAGGAGAGGGCAGCAGCCAGGCATGCACCGTACGCCGCACACCACGCACGACACACACTCCAATCCACACAAACACACACACACCGCCCTGCCGCAACACCAACACACAGATGGAGGAGGGAGAAGCAAACAGGAGCGGCACACAAGGCTCCACCGCATGCACACACGGCGAGAGCGGTCCGTCGTGTCTGCACCCCTCACGGAGGTACGTACACACACAAGAGGATAGGTGCAGCGCACACAGCAACACAAAAGCAAAGTAACAATAAAAAAAAGGGTATCCTCGCACACCACGTGAATTGTTGGTCCACGGGAAGCGAAGCCAATATTCATCACAAAACGAATTATTATCCTGTTTTTGTTGTATGCCGTCACAATAACGAGTGAGTAGCGCAAAGGCTTTCAGCAATAAAGTGGCAAGCATGCTGTCGCAAACGGCCGTCGTGCACGCTGAGGCGGTCCCAAACAGTCACAATCCATATTGTCAATGACGGGGCATTACCACAGTGGATGAGGCGGAGTCTCCCGTGGTCCGTCGGGGATCAGCAGCCCGTGGCGTCTGTGATGAAGCGGTGGCGTAAGAGCCTGGTCCATCTCGAGTGCCCGCGTTTGTGCTTCCTGCGTGCCTTGCCTGCTGGCATGCTTGGATCTTCGGTGACGACCGGCGCTTAAGGCGCCTGTTAGGAAGACGGCGGCGCCATTGTGACATCCGCATGTGGGGCCTTCTCAAACTATCCGAACGCCAGGCTGAGAACGTCGGGCATGTGCCGTCATATTGTTGACAAAAGAACGCACTCTGCCGCAGATTGGGCAGGAGGACGTCAATCCGCCGCTCGCTGGTCGACAAGGAGTTGCGGTGCTCACGTCGGGAAGAGGTCCCGGCGGAGGCAGCGGCGGGCCGGTCACCGCAGTCAGGGAGGGACGGCACCACCGACACAGGGGGTGCCTTGTGATCCGCAGGGCGCGTGCAGGCATGTCGAAGAGTGGGCAGGAGTCGCATCGCGCCGGTGCGCCGTGGCTAGTAACACGATGTCCGGGTCGTGCCAGGAATAGAGTCCTCGCCACGCCGACAGGCGCCTGTTGTGCGGTGTACGCGCCCTTTCTTTTTCTTCTGGGCATCCCTCCAGTCCCGTCGCTTCACTGCAGTGAGGAAGCCCACATGCCAGGCATTGACGCAGTCCTGCGGGAGGGATCGCGCTATGACGGCATCAGCGTCCGCTGTCACGTTGCGTGGGATACCGCAGTGTGATGGGAAAATACGGAGCCAACAGTGTGGCCTCGATCCGCCAGTGAAAGCGGCATCATGCTAATCTCTTCGGTGATGCCGTCGTGCACCGCCAGCGAGCCAAGGCGGAGTGATTCCATCGCCGAGAGGGAGTCTGTGGCGACGGGAACTAGTGTGGGCGATTGGGATGCTGCTGCCATGCGGGGAACTGTCTGTGGCCATGCTCAGTGGAAGGACACTCTGCTCGGCAGGAGCATGCGAGCCTGCCAGCTGCTGCACGATGGACCTACACAGGGAGATCATTTGTCGTGGTGGAGCCGTAAAATAGCGCAGCGGATCCAGATGCGAGCTCAGCGAGAGACAACAAGTCGTCCGTCCAGCGGCCTGCGTCATACGTTCCCAGAAAAGCGCAGGCCGCTTCAAGGGACGATCGTCTGACACCGTTCAGGGCGTCCTTGGCATGCCGTGGCTAGAAAACGCTCACCTCGTTGCAGCTCACAGTGTCGCGGAAGAAAATCCGGTGCTCAGCATGAGGGGCGCGGATGTGGTCCGGGAGATCTCCATGTGACTGCGGAAGCATCGCAATTCATTAACAACAGCATCTCTCGGAAGCGGGATCGATGTCGCCGCTGCCTTCCCAATTGTTGGCTAAACTGTGGTTTCCAAGCACAAAACGCCACGCACGTCCTCAATATACCAAAGTGTGAGGCGTTCGTGCTGTGAGGGTGCGTGGAACCCAATGTTCCTCTGCAGCGGTGCTGGATTGGCGGCCAGGTGGACAGAAGTATCCTTCGATGATGCGCGTGGGCCGAGCGATGCTGTGCAGCTGTCGCCGTGCCGCACTTCCAGGCCGTGGAGGTGAATGAGGGCCGGACACGGTGCGATTGCCTCGCCACAATACAGTGACACACTATGAACGTATACAATCAAAAAGGATCGCATAGTGTGATGGGACGCACCAGCCTGTGCGACCAGCCGCAGCTGATGGCGGCGTGGCATGGTCTGCTTTGCAGCGGTGGAGGCGTGTGTGCCAAAATTAAGAAGGCGATTAATCGTTGTGTCCAGCAAGCGCACCGGGCGTGACTGAATACGCAGGTTCCCGCTAACAAGATGAAGATCGACCATTTCCTCGTCAGACAGTGTGTGTGTGTGTGAAGAGATGTAGAATAGAGCAGCTTCGCTCTTATCAACGTTGATTTTTAGGTTTTGCTCGGCAGCCCATGCCGTTGTAAGTGACAGGGCAGGTTGCATTGCCGCAGCACAGGCATGAATGTCCGCACCTGAGGCAACAAGTGTGTGTTCGTCAGCGTGCATGAGAGCGGAGGCAGAATAGATGCTGCCCAGGCGGCGCAGCACATCATCCACACAGCGGAAGAAGAGTTTGGGTCCCGGGACGCCGCCTTGCGGTACCACGGCTGAGGCGAGTTGTTTCCGGGAGTGCGGTTCGCGAGTGCATACCCTAACATAGCGGCCCCGCAGGTAGTTGTGCAGCCAGCGTTTGGTTCGAGGGCCAAGGCGCGGAAGTCTGTCGAGCATGCCGAATAATTTCCCATGGTCAGTGGTGTCGAACGCAGTCAGAAAATCAGTCGAGACTACGAACGAGCGATGGCGACGAGGGTGCCGTGCGGGGGCGTCGCCTCCAGGGCGCTCATACTCCACAGTGCCAAACTCATTCAATCCACGGGTAATTTTATCGATTACAAGTGTCGCCACGTACGATGTAGAACGCGGAGGTGCAAATCCAAAATTGACGTGGGTGGTGCGGCAATAACGCTGACAGACGGCGGTGAATCATCCTTTCGGTTAACTTTAGTAAAGCAGAGAGTGATTTGATAGGTCTGTGACTCTCTGGGCTGCATGGATCCTTCTCAGGTTTGGAATAGAAATAGCATCTCCCATTTTCCAGGAGCCAGGCAGGCTGCCGTTTGCAAAGGAGTTGTGGATCATCGTTCTAAGAGTGCCGCACGCAACGGGCCCGAGACGGTGCAGGAACTCATTCAACATGTTGTCGGGGCCAGGGGCTGAGCCAAGCGAAGTGTCACGGATGGCCACGTCAATTTCATACGGCTTGAAAGGCCGATCCATTTCCCAGCCACCAGGAACCAAAGGAGTGCAGCAAGCAGCAGTAGTATAAGGTAACGTGGCACGTGAAACCCGCACAAAATGGGAAAGGAGCAGATTTGCCTGTTGCCGAGGCAGAACGCAGTCCGAAGATAAGTTCGGAGCACAACTGATTCCAGAGGATGAGGGTGCAGCGCCGCCACACCGCGAAGATCTCGCCAGCTCGGGCTGGGTGAGGCTCCAAGTTTTTCCACACGGGCTTCCAGAAGCACAGCGGAGCAACGGCGTAAGGCTTCATTTTGTTTCTCTTTTTTGGATGAATTCTGCTCGAAGTAGGCTGTCTCCTGGTGAGGCGATGTGTGTGCTTCGTGTGCTGCTTCTGCGGCGGCCTTGGCTTGCAACATTTCGTGTGTCCATATTCGTTTTGGAGCTTTCACGGCTGCCGCGCGGGATGTGGCGCTTAGCCGCTCGTAAGATGCCTCTGCGAATGTCCAACCATGTGGACGCGGTGGCAGGGAGTGTTTTGCACAACGAAATGAAAGCAGGCCATTCCGCTTTACGCAGGGCAAAAGTGGCTTCCTTCCGTCAAGGCAGCGTGTTGGCCAGTCGCGGAATGCCATCATCCATCTATACCGAGTAAGATATTAAGGAGTGGTCCGAGTCTATGTAGGAAGTGGATGCCCGGTGGGAGATGCGTAGTACGCGATACGCAGTCACGCCAGGGGACGAGACATTACGATGTGTGATCCGTGTTGCCTCTGCCGTGTCATTTGCCAGCCCAAAGTTCAAATCAATTAAAATAGCAACGAAGTTCTCTCCTCCAGTCGTTGGTGGTATATATGACTGTCCCAGAGTCCATGATGCAAATTCAGGTCACCCGCGATAATCGCTGCGGGCCCAAGCGACAAACGATATTGATAAATGCGGATTATTGACCAATTGCTGTGGGATGGTTGTAGAGATTCACCACGCACATGCTGGAACAGCTGGGTGGAAATACACGGACAGCAGTGGTCTCCAGGCAGTTAGTGCCAGGGAGCGACAGGCGCTCGCACGGTAGAGAGTGGCGCACCAGAATGGCAACGCCACCACCGCGCCCAGTGCATGCCTGAAGAAAGCCATTATGGCCATATAATTTCATCGCTACGTCGCTACGATCATTTATTTCCTGGAAAAAGAACGATGTCAGGTTGATGCAGCTCCAGTCGTACAGCAAATGCAATCTTTTTTACGGACGAGAGGCCTGCAATGTCAAGCTGCCAAACAGTGATGCAGCCATCCTCCTCGGGCCAGGGTTCTTGTGAACGTCACCGCAGCGGCATGTGATATCAACGGAGTGACCGCTGCGAAACGGCCGTGCAGTTTTGTCCGACAGCCTGCAGGCTGACCGCCTCACCTCCCCGCACCGGGCATGGCGTGGAACCCTCTCGAGGGGCGGAGTCGTCTTGGTCTCCGTCGTGGTCGCCGCAACGCCCTGCTGCGGAGTTCCTATACGCAGCCAGAGCCACAGCACCGCGACAAGGTGCGGACCCCATCGCCGGGGCCAGGAGAAGCCGCAGTGCCTCCTGCTGTCATCCGGGATCCTTGTTGACGTCTTGATGCGGACAA